AATTTTTAATAACAAGATACTAACAGTACAAGATGAAGAGATGGGAGACACCTTCCACCTAGCACTTTTGAAAAGTACACTATCCCCATTCAGCAGATCATCGAGTTGATTATACTCTTTCTTTACTTCCAATATAGCTTTTGCCAAATCCTTGTCATCATCGGCATCGAAGAAGCAGTCTCGCTCCTTAGCATCACGAACTAATTCTTTCCAGATGGATTCACTACTAGCTAGTGTTCTTCCATTTCCCAAAATCCAGAGACAGTGCCTGAGATAGTGTAAAAAACTAAGTTTCTCTCCCTTTTTTGTTCTTTTACAATGGTGATTTCACAAATTATATAAAAGAAATGATATTAAACATGTTAATGTGAATCAATACCTTGCCCTTGTAAGGGCAACATTAGTTCTCTGACGGTTGGCTACAAATCCAATCATTCCTCTAGTATTTGATCTCACGGTTGATATTATAATTATATCCTCCTCTCCGCCTTGGAAGCCATCAACAGACTTAACTTTTACAGTGAAGCCATCAATCTTATCATACTTGGCACCAAGTTTTTCACGTATTGCAGTTACCTGAGCAGCATATGGTGATATAATTCCAATGCTTACCTTCTGCTTTGAGCGACATGCTGCATGTGGAAACAATAAATAACCTTGGAATATCAACCTAATAAATTAAGGGAGCAACAAAATGTTCATGAAATGCATCATTTTGAGGAGCTACAAATTTATTAACTTGATAGAACAATAGATGCAGGAAAGTTATAATATGCCTTTGAAGTAACCACTATCCTGTTTGTTGAATTATGAAGGAACAGTTAGAAAGATATAAGAAATAAAGAAAAGAGTATTTTGAAATGTCAATTATAACCCAGATTTAGAATACCTTTGCACAGATTTTTTAGCAGTTTCAGCACAACAGCTGCCTCAACCATGTTTCTTTGGCTATGTCCAACATCCGCTTGTTCTTCTCTCCCTGGAGATACATTTATGAATGAATAAGGGCCAAACATTTGGCCTTGAAGATACTGCTTTTCATATCTTTTATGCTTAACATTGGGTGCATCTGAGATCTGGTTAAAATAGAAACTAGAATTTGGGAAGCTGCTGATTGATGGATGCATCCTGTATTGTATATTGAGAAGGTGCCTCAAATAACCTAATAATCTCAGCCTTTCAAATAAACTTTTACCAAGCCCAGCTTCCTCAGATATCTACAAAAGAAGCACATATACATGTATTTATGTATATATACATGTATGTTCAATCAGCAATGTGTATATAAAGAGGAATTTGAGAAAGAAACTGGGTTCAGGAAAATTGATGCGAACTTTTTGAGGAGCATTAGGGCACAATTAGTAGTTTTCACTTACATTGCTTTCAACTATGGCAGGCAATTGGCACTCGTCACCAATAAGAATTGCATGCTTTAAACCCGGGAGTTGTAGGGGTATCGTAGATTCACATTCTCTCAATTGGGCTGCTTCATCAATTACCAACAGGTTCAATGGTTCAGTTTCCACTTGATGCAGCTTATACGAACTGGATGCTGTGCAGAAAATTAATGAAGCTGTTTGGAAACAGAATTTCATTATCGAACCCATGTTCAGAGCACTGGGAAATTCAAGTTCACTGCATGACTTCAGAAGTTTCTTTAAAACAGTAAGGCATTCACTTCTCATCGAGCACAACAATAGTAATTCATCTGAATGAATTTGGTTACTACCCTGCACCAACTCCTGATTTGAGAAGATCTCCTCCACTTCTTCAGAAGTTAAACTGTCATGAAACAGTAGAGTTTCGAAAGAGTCAACTAAGCGAACAAGAGATGCAATGTTTTGGAAATCATCCCCAAAGTAGCTAATTGGTACGTGAGTGCATAAAGTAAAAATACATCTTCTGAGTGGCAACGCCGTATTCCTAAACTGTTCTCTTGCAAATTCAAGAAAGGACTTAAGCTGCGCTTTGTTACTATCAATTCCATTATTGCACCTTTTCTCTTTTACTTCATTTTCTTTACTGCTTTCCTGCTCTTTGAGCAATTCATTTTCCAAGAAAATAGTATACCGGAGAAGACAATCTTCAAGAAAATCTATCATTGATCTGAAACAATGTTGCCACCCAGTGATCGTTCCAAAGCATTCAGTTAGCCTCTTGACTCGATGATCCAAATATATTTCCTCAACATCTGACTTAAGGTTGAGCCTCTCCTTATTCCCAAACAGGAGAAGATCACCTGAAGAACAACAGTAAGCATCTGCCCCAGATTCTTCTCCACCATATTCTTTCAACAGCTTCAAAACACGTGATGCAACCTCTGTAATTGCGACATTTGTGGGGGCACAAATGACAGTTCTGTATTTTAATTTCAAGAGGACAATGAGCATTGCCGAGATAGTTTTGGTTTTCCCTGTACCTGGGGGACCCCAGATAAGTTCCACATTGGACTGGTGCTTGCATCTCAGTTTATTAAGACAGGCTGAAACAGCCTCAGTTTGAGATTCGTTCAAGTCATTTAAGGTTGTGAGAACCTTGTCACTGCAGGTATCATTGGGCTGTAGAGGACAAATATGACAGCTTCTTTCCACCTAAAAATCAGTAATCAGAATGTGGAATTCAAATCAAATTTGATCTATCCATTATAAAAGAATTTAGAAAATTTGTTGAAGAACTATTCATGTAACCACATATGGTACACAGGATACCAAATTATCCATGTAACCGCATGTTAATAAAAATATACCAAGAAGACTAGTTATGATACGGCAAGTCCACTGAAATTAATATCAAATACCATAACCTTATCTGGATTCTTACCACAGAAGAGCACAGAACTTCTTTGACTATCCGCAGGTTCCGAAACATGTGCAACGAATTCCATATCCTTTTGCTAGTAGTTATATTTGTCAGAAAAATCACAAACATTGATTTATACATCCCATCATTTTCTGAAATGTCTTTTGATGCCTTCACTTTAAAATTAGTTGTTAAACTAGTTTCCTCGTTTTCATCATCTGCGACTTTAGTGGCCAATGCAAAAGCCCATGTCCTGCCTGGCCTCTGCAGATCTGAAACAGTTTCAGGTTTAGCATCTGCTAAAACAAAGATATCTCCGGGCAATGTTCTGTAAGGCTCCTTGCCACAATCACTGAATCTGTTTCTCCAGAAGTCAATGGTAAAATCATATAATAAACTCCCATGAGGCTTGGACTCTTCAAAGCCAACCACTTCAGCATTAGGTGCTGCAGATATGACCTCCATACTTGAACACAGTTGTGTTCGTGTTTCTTCGAGTAACGGTAAAACATAGGATCCCATATAATGCTCAACAGACTCAAATGTATCAGGAATCTTCTTTACCTGCAAAAAAGAAGAACTGTTTGTTATGGGTAAAAATCAATTTTCATCTTAAAGAAAACGTTTATGATTAAGAGAAAAACACAAATTATAGATAAGATCACCCAAAGGAAAGAGTGCCATTCAGAATAGGAATCTTCTTCTATAGCAGCACAGCTGCTGGGACCCAAGCCAAACCACTGAAAAGACTGAGTCCAGCAGTTAGCAGTCCTCTGATCTGTTTCCACCCCTGTTTTCAACTCTGTTTCACTCTCTATTCAAAACTTGACTGTATCATACAAATAACTATATGACTAATTACTATAAATAAGTACCAAGTTTTGAATAAAATCACCAAATTTATACACTCTTACAAGTGTATAGATTTTGTTCTGTTAATTATCAAAAGGCGTGAAATTAACAAGCATAATATACACAACAATACATATAAATGTACAGAAGTGCTATAGAAATTTACATAATTATTCCTCCAGCATGTTGCCACATACACAAAGCTAGTCTTTTCTTTTTAATCAAGGAACATATGAACCAAAGAACAAAACATGACAATGCTAAAACTTCAATGGGCAACATTGATATTATGTTTGGTTCAATTCCTACCTTATCTATTTCCTATTCCTTTATCCTAATTAAGTACGATAATATTAGTGAGATATAGAATTGTATTATATTTCTCATCTTTCCTTAAGGATTGTTTGATTATAATTTATTCTTGAAAATGGATTTCCAGATCTTATTTTGATAGCTAGCAATCATAAATTCATCTAACTTCATTTTGAAAATGAATTTTAAATACATTTTTTTCAAACTTCTATCTAATTTTGTTGCATTCTTATTCCATAGAATTAAAGACTTCTGCCCTGCACCAAATGTTGCCTAATGAATGCAAATAGTTTCAAGACAAAGCTATTGTGTTCGAATATGAAAATGGAATTCCCTTTTTTTTTTTTTTTCAACTTTACATTAATGAAACTCAAGTTTATACAATTCTATCTCAAGTACTCCAAATGAACTCCAAGTTAAAAAGAGGTTGGTCTGGTCCAATCCCCAACAGAGGATTGAACAGAAACAATCAAACAAGTAAACAAATGAAACACTTGCGTCCAAAATGAACAAAAACCGGCAGACAAACACCTCCATAATCAAACTTGGTAAATAAAGTGATGGTTCAAAAACTGCAAAATATACTTTCAATAGACTCTAAACCCATAAGAAGTAAGAGAAGAAAGTAGCAAACCTTATCTTGGAAAAGATTTTCATCTAAAATGTCATCGAGAGACCAAGAAAACACCTCATTGATGAAATCATCATTAGAGAAAATCGATCGTTTTCCAGAACTTTCGCCCTTCATCATCATCCCCCTTCTCTGCGTCCTGTTCATTTTTTTTTTTTTTATAACTTTATTCTACTTGTCTGCAAAAAATACCAGTATCAATTTCAGTTAAAACCCATAGAAATGAGAGAAACAAAGAAAAAAAAAAAACTAAAATGATGATGAGGGAAATGGGAATTCTTAACAGGAAAGCAAAGTGATGGAGAAGGTAAACGACTAAGAATAAGAATTTGTAGTACACTGATTAAACGAAAGAGACATGCATAGTAGCTGGTTAGCTTTCTCTGTACTCTTTTCGATCAAAAGAAAAAGATGATCATCACTCTAAACATGAAATGACAGAGAAATCTCAAAAAGAAAAGAGGGAAAAGAAGAAGTTCATTGGACATATTAAAAAAAATGGGTCTCTTCCCTTTGAAAAAAGAAAAATATTAAAGCTTGGGTCTTTCC